TAAATATTAAAAAATAAATAAAGAAATAAATTTTCAGAATATTAAAATGTTTCCGAAAAATTGTATCAAATTCGTTTTCAAGAACTTGGATAACAATCATATATTATTCCCTTTTATATAAATGCCTACTCTTTCCCTAAAGGAAGGGGTATAATGAAGAAAATAAGGATTTTAGACAGCATTGAACAGTTAGTTGATAATGTGTCAATAATAAACCGTACATGCAATGTTCAATCGAAGTCTCAATCATTATCCGTTGCTTTCTCTATCATCTTATGGGTAATTATCTGATTTCGCGTTTGTGAAATGACTCATTTTACGATAAAACCATCGACTATTTATCAAGCTTTAGTTAATAGTTTGCTCGAAACATAACAACGGGCAGATAAAGGTACCGATTGAATTTGACCGAAGGACGCGGAATCGCGTGAGTTGAACAAGTACCCGTCATTACGTAACGGCGTTGCGTGCCCGTAAGCTTCTCCTTCGGCGAGCAAGCAATGGCGACGGTGGCTAGCAGCCGCAGCCGCGACGGGAGTTGATTGGATCTAATCCGTTTAATTCGGGGAATGAGTTTCAGTGGACCATTTTAATTCGAGCGTGCCGCGTCCGTCGCGCCGGGTTGCTTCTTTTCTCTCGTTCACTCTCCCCCCCTCTCTCTCTCACTCCCCCTCTTTCGTTCTCTCCTATCTTCAAGTGCACTTGTAAAACTTCAGCGCAACTCAAGAGCGCTTCAGCCACGCCATCGTGATATCGAACAGCCTTTTACATTCGTCGTCCTTTAATGATCAACCAGGAACTCGAAAGTCACACAGACGGCCGCCCGACGCAATTCGCATCCGTTACAATCTCGAGGGAGAAGTTTCTTCGCTCGGGGGAGCTCCTCAGACCCGCTCGTCTCGAGTCGATGGAACCGACTGGTTTCTAAGAGGAATCACAGGGAAATAGATCAGGACCAACGCGAGTAAAGAAGGAAAAAGTTTAGCGGTTGTGCACTCGTTCCATTTCCTCTTGACTTATTAAAAACGAATCGATCAGGGACAAAACTTGTCTTTTTAAACACAAAGCGAGTCTAAACATCGTTCGCCGCGAAAGTAGCGAATTCGATTCTCGCATAAGTCGACACGAAGATCACATTATCTTCTTTTACATAAATGTCTGCGTTTTGGGAAATAAAAGGGACAGCCGGAAACAAGGATTAGACAGCACTGAAAACAATTGACTCGCTTCTTTTATTTCTCAATGCCAGCGTACGAATTTTTCTCATTCCTCATTCGTGTGAATGTTGACTTTGGACAAATGGAAGAAAAATTCATGGAACTCGTCGAAACTGAAATTTTCCTTGCCGCAGTCTGAAACTGAGCACGACCGAGGACGCGTGCAAAGCCGGAATAAACGTTCGCGCTGGAGAAACCACGTGGAAATACAATCGCGACTCGTATGCATACATTCGGCGCGCATTCGGTGAGTCCATGGGGTTCCGGTGGAGCATGAAACCCCATAAAGTGGCAAGCCGGCCGAATATCCCGGGTGTTGGAGCTCCTGCTACCGCGGAATCGATAGATTCGCCGTGAAACGCAGACTGAGAAAGACTGGCAGGGAAGCCTTTGTCGATCCGAGGAAGCGAAAAATCCAGTAACTACCAGCAGAATCCGTACGAATGACGCCGGGCAATCGCGATTCGTTTAATTGGATACACACCGGGTGTACCGTGATGACACGTGCCCGAAGTTTGCCGCGAAGATGGATTTTCTGTCCATCAACGCGGACACGATTTAACCCTCCCGCGTTTGGCAAAACGGTACGCTGTTCTGCCGATTTCAAAGCGTTCGGGTTTCATTAATTTGCAATTGACCGTTTGGGATATAAAAATTTCCCAGGAATATAATTTGAAAATGCGTAAATGCATATTTTAATAAATGTAAAATTTTCTTCCCTTTACTGTGATATGAATTTTCTCTCTTTACTAAGTTTCTTCATTCAATAACACTTTAGTAATTTTTGTAACTTTTGTTCCCAGCTTTACTATGTATGACTATGTTTCGCTTCGAAAACATTCAGACCATTTTCGATAATTTATAGTCGACAGACTAGAACGTAAAAATTTCCCATAAAAACGTAAATGTAAAAACGTAAAAAGAAATACATTTCGAATCTTCGAACGCGCGTATTTTAGTCAACATAGTAATTTTCTTCCTCTTTCTCTTTGAGTTTTTTTCCCTTTCTAAGATTTGTTATGCACTAAAATTTTAATAATTTCGCTTTCAGCACTTAACGTTGTTTTACTGGTAAGAAAGCGTTCGATCCAGCTTCCACTAACTCGGAATAATTTGCTCAGAGCATAAAATTTTTCCAGTAACGTAATTGAAATCTTTTGATAAGCGCATTTTAATCGTCTCTATTAATCTCCGAGTTTTCTTCCCTTTTTGAGTTTCTTGATCAATAACGTTCTAATAATTTTGTTGTCGATTTCCTTACGTTGTTCTGATTCGGAAACATGCGGATCAGTTTTCGATAATTTATAATATAATATAAACATATTAATACATAATTTTTTAGGACATAATTTTTCTCTTTTCAATAGGAGATTTCAGAGAGCTTCAATAGAATTTTATTAAAAAATCCTAATTATAAAATAATTCAAATAAAATTCTAAACACGAGTAAGATCAGCATATTTCCCACTGTTAATTAAATTCCCCAAGTCTTAAATTTAAATAAATACACCTCGTTTCGCGCGCGCGACTGGCTCCTCCAAATTACTCATACGCTTTACTATATAACGCTCAACGGATCGGCTGAAACACGAAAACAACAGCTCGAACGCAATTCTTCCTCCAGAGAGGCTCGTCAATCTTAATTTGAATAATTTAACCGCCTATCGAATTACTCACAGTGCGATCAGAACGATTCCGGCTCGCTATGAAACTTTCAGGAGAACACGAACGCGTAAACGCTCGTGACATGACAGTGGCCGTGTCACGCGGAAGTCGATGGTACACGCACTGATAGATTGCGGTTCGTACTATCTATCGGAGGCGAAATGGCCAGCGAAGAGGTGAAGGGCCGGGGGGGGGAGGAGAGGAGAGAAGGAGAGCGGATCACGGGATATCAGCGGCGTGGTATATCGCAATTACATTTTCGCGATGACCCCTCTGAGCTTGTTTCTGGGGGATAACTTCCCTCCCCCTCCCCCGCCGCCCCCTCGCCAATCCCCTTTGCCAGCACCCTCCGTGGAGGGTGGCGCCGCTCGTATTTGAATTGCGCTCTCGCACGCGCATTATTGCGTACCGCAAGTGCGCGCTTGTATTTACGCGAGAGCGGTGGCCCGCTAATGACTTCGCGTCGATGAGAAAGGGTGGGCTGAACCGGCCATCGATGCGGAACAAATTGTACCGCCGGTCTCATCCTCACTTCACGAGGACAATCCGTGTATTGGCAAAAAGTCCGTAAGAAGCTTGTCGTATGAAGTGAAATCGCACTGTTTTCTGGTGAGTTCCATTAGTCGAAGCAGCTGCTATTCGTTCCGACGCGCTTTTCTTGTCCGGAAGAAAATTCCCACACGGAGGAAAATGATTAGTTGAGTTGACGCGACGTTGAACGAGTAGAAGGCGCTTTGGTTTAAAGAAGAGAGATTTCTAGGAACCAAAAATTTAGTTTACTTTAAGACAAACGTGTTCGGTTCTTTTATCGTCGTGTTAATTCGCTCGGCTTTTCTTCTCCATCTCCGAAAATTTCTTCGTTTTACGGTTTCCCGATTAATTAATTACAGTTACACGTAAATTACAATTTTATATTAAGTTAGCAATAATATTTTAGGTAGCACGTATATTTTGTAGTTTGATTAATAATGTTCTATTCATCATTTGTCAGCAAATAGCGCGATATTTCCAACTGTATACACACGCACGATACGTTTGCTCGATAATTAAGGGTACGCGGAACACGAGGGAGGGATGTTATTCAAATGTCTCAGAATTACGCGTTGATGCCGAACGAGATGCCGTACATCATGAGACGGTAATCGTGAATGATGTATAATGGTCGTCGCGAGAATGTTCTTCCTTGTCGAGTTATCCTCGACAGGCTGCTCCTGTATTTGCGTTGCGCCGACGAATCGCGAGGCCGGAAAATTAGAAGGTTTCCCGTTCGCGAGCACTCTCGCAGTGTCAATATTGAGCTTTTGAGGGAAGCGATCCGATAAAGCTTCCGCGACCGTCGCAGCACGTGCGCGCCAGTACACGTGTATGGACTCGAAAATCCGCGCGAATGACGGATCTCGCTCGATGTGTCCCTCCTCCGTCGAACGATAAACAGAAGATTCGATCGGGAATGATAAATGAATTCTGTTGGGAAATATGTATTTTGCACAGATCGTATTAACAATAGTAACAATTCCCTTTATAAATCGTAATGATTGTATTAACAATCTAAAAATTTACAATTAATTTTAACGATCTTTTAACGTACTCACGAGATAAAGTAATTAGGATAATTAGGGTAATTATCCGTTATAAATAGTAATAATTCCAAACTGTTTTGTCAAATAACAAATAAAATAACAAATGAAATAACAATAAATGAAATTAAAAATCAGTTAAGAGGATCACACATATTATCTAAAAATAAAAATATATCATCCAAAAAGAAATACTAAACATATAAGATACATGGAAAATTGAATCTTTAATCCGATACTCGATATATGAGAGTATAAATATAAGTTGTGATTTTGCACTCGTTGTTTCTACGGTTATTTCCATGAGTTAGTTTCACCATATTTTAATAATTATAATCCGAATTTGAATTTTTTGTTGTGCAAGCGCTCTTGTTATCGATTCTCTCGAGGTCGACATACAAATTTCGAAATGCGCAGGTTCCGTAATGACAGCAACGTTTTATTCATCAGTCGTAGAGAGCTAGTTGAGAGCTATGTTGACCTATTACTGAAAGTCTATTTGAGCTTGGGCCTAACCCCGTTTATGCTTCTCTCTGTTTCAGCTACTTAACTCTTTGGCGACCGATTTGGACTGCATGCTGAGTGAGCTGTGCACAACGCCTGATTCCTACGACCGGTGAGTCCCTCTCGGTTCTTTTTTCCTCTTCACCTTCTCAAACCACCTCTCGAGGTCAAGTGCGGATGACCACTGGCCGCTTCGAAGCGCTAATCAATTGGGGAAACCGCATTCGAGTGTACGTCTCTTTATTGTCGTAGCTTGCGATTCGCGAAGAGATCAAAGTTCGATTAAAGCATTTATCACTTTAATTAAAGAATTATAAAACTAAATAATTAAAGAATTAAAGAACAAAAAAATTGAAGAATTAGAGAGTTAAAAATTTAAGGAATTAAAAGAATAAGAAAATAAAGAACTAAACAACTGAAAAAAGTTGAGAAATTGAAGAATTAAGGAATAAAAAGATTAGAAAGAAATGAAGAAAGATTTAAAAGATTAAAAATTAATCGAACGATTATAAAATTATAGAACTTACATATTTTCCAATTATCCTGAATTGTCAAATTTATATGATCAAATTGATAGCACAAATTCCTTTAAACAAAGCTGCAAATTTGTAACGTATTTATGTGCAATATTTATCGAGTTATATTTTTCCGAGGCGAAGAAAAATCGCAGTGCGGTTTCTTCGCTTGGGAAAAAATTCGGGCCGCGCCATAACGAGAGAACGAGTTTGAGGGGGGAGGAGAACACATTAACCGCCCTCTCTGCTACGTGGCGTCGGTTAAATCGAATTAATTCCTGTAATTTATGGCGAAAATCTCGCCATGCACGCCGAATAATTTCCATATCGCGAGGAATCCTCCTCGTGATCTATGAGAGAGACCCCGCTCACAATATCCTGCGGACATTATGTGGTGTATACCGGGTGGGCACAGCCGCTCATTAAATCTCAAATGAATCATACGCGCCCCGCTGTAAATCGATTTGTCCAATTTCGCGGTTTTATGCAAATTCCGACTATCTGTGACAAATCGCAACTGGCCACGGATGAGTTTCCCCCGACGATCGCTCGCCATTAAATGCCCGATCTCGCCGTCCCGTTTTGGCTCGGTACTTTTACCGAGCGAATATTTCTCACTTCCGCTATCGCTGTTTGACGGAACATTTCCCCATTTACGTTTATACACAACGTTCCATTCTTCTTTCTGCTCGTCGAACGTATTGCTTGTGAAAGATTCAAGGTTCGATCGTTACGATTGGAAGCACTGTATATACAGATTCCCCGAATATATAGATGGTGCAAACGCGGTAAGGGTTAAACCTTAAGATTTAACACATCTGGGGTGCGTCGTATTCACTACGGGAAGATGGACGACGCCTTTCTGTGAAAGGACGCGAGATTTCAATGGATTCCACAGGGGGGTTCGAAAACTCGCTCGAGTTTTCGGCGCTCCGCGTGACTCGACTCCGTGAGACGCATGATTAACTCGCGGCAATTAGCAAACGGAACAACGATTACGCGTGTTTCGTTTGGTACAAACGCGCCAGAGCTCAGCTTGCAAAGTGGAGCATAGGATCAGCGGGGCGAGAATAATGAAGAACAATAGCCTATTCGAATTGTCGTTCCGCGGTAGAAATAGCATGCGGTTTGCGCGAGCGCCCGCTCAGTTATTGCCCACTATCAATGTATTCTTATTAGTTGCAAAAATACTGACAAGAACTCTTGATAGAGTTTTATTCAGTGACTAAACTAGCTTACTGTGCGATACGTAGACCGATTCTTTCCAAGATATAGGGTACTATTCAGAGACAACGTGTAAAACCGTAATAATCTTACTTTAGTTCTGGCTTAGTTAGTCCTTTGGTCTGGCCTCTATCTATGAACTAACAATGAACTAAGACTTTATTATTCAGAGACATTTTTCCGAAATAGTTTAAGTTTGGTATCCGGACTAGGGAAATTAAACTCTTCAAATAGTATTCATAGTAGGATCTTATATTTATTCTTCTTAAATTTGTCTTTGGTCTTAAATTTATCCTCAGATACTTCGTAATCGTATCAATGAAATGCAATCACCAGGGAATTGTCAAAACGTGACTTTTGAAGTTCGTGTTTATATTTTAAGACTCTTTTTTTTAATTTGGGACAGTAAAATTACTCTCAATAGATACATCAAATACAATTAAGTAGAAAGTCTAATTGGGCCACAGAGGAGAAAAGTTTCCTGACGAATTCTATATTAAAAAGGAAGAACATTGTGGAGAAAAGATGTACGATACGAATACGAATAAAGTCAAACAAAAACATTGAAAAGAAATTCTTGATAACATCAATGGACATATCAGGGCCTATACATCTGTAGCAATTAAAAGATTAAACCAATCTTAGACTGTTACTTAGACTTAGGTTTAAATTAAATTTAAACTTAATTTAGATTAAATTTAATTTAGTTTAAATTTAATCTTAGGGTTTAATACAAGACTAAATCATGAAAAGTATCTCTGAATATAAATGTTAGTCTCTTCTTATACTATTATTAGACTACGATTAAACTAAAACTCATTTTGTCTCTGTGTCAACAAACAATTTCGTCTGAAACATTTTTTATTTGCCTAATATCTTTTGACATATTTAAGGAAAACTTAGTAACTTTTTCAACATTTAACTTAATTTAATATCTCGCTAACTATTCGTCGAAAAAAAGATAATACTAAACTCTTTTACTCTATTTAATCTCAAGAACATATTATTACAATAGTGTCCTAACTTTTATTAACTTATCGATCTTTGGATATTTTAAAATCATCAAATTAATAAAAGTCAAGGCACTATTGTAACAATATATTCTTGAGATAAAATAGAGTAAAAAAATCTAGTACTACTTTATCTTCCAACAAATAGCGAGATGTCGTAAATTACGTATTGAAAAAGTTATCAAATTTTCCTTAAATATCTCAAAAAATATTAGGTAAATAAAAAAATGTTTCAAACAAAAGTTATTAAAATTAATTAGTGGAAAAAGATAGTATAATAAAAAATTGGGGTTTCCATTTAAGAAAAATAATGATCAAATAATATTTGGAAAGTGATGCCATATGTAAACAAAATTACATGTTTTTTATGTCCCCTTTGAAACCATACAACTTTTGTCTGAAATGTTTCTTAGTATCCTTCATATTTTTCGAAATACTTGCCTGGCTCATTTATAATAGGACACTATCATAATAATAATATTACTCATAAAAGGCTTCTCGTACTATGACTTTAACCAATCTTGAAATTTTTCAATTAGCAATCACACACGAAATATGAAATACCACTTGTCCATTTTATAAGCAGTATAATTTAATTATTAATCAGTTAAATAGTTTTTTTTGTTCGTTTACTGTTCTGATCTCGTTCAATATATGGATTCCGATTTTGCATATCTTTCATACGCAGTAACTGCAGGAAAAGTGTTTCATATTGATCGAAGTCCCAACTAGTTTTATTTCTCGAATATCTGACAAAAGTTAATGTAACTGTTCAGTAACTGCATTCAGTAACTCGAAAATTGCATTAAATTTCCACCAGGATCTTTTGTGTGTGTATTCGCAGGAAAAGGGGGAGAGCAAAAATACCTCCCATATGTTCGGGGGCGGATCTTTGTACAATTTAGGTGAAACTACCACGAAAAGTCAGAAGCTGCGCAATTTTCCTGAAGATGCAAAGTAGAGGCGGATATTACGAGATGAAGCTGTGCTCTCCGGCCGGAAACGACGGACGGCTGGCAGGCCGCGCGGCAATTATGCATAATATTACGACACTAATTCTGCGCACATGTTACGAATTAGGTCATTTACTAGCCGTCGATGCTAATCTTGCACATATTCGCGATACTGGAATGGGCACCGCGCAGTCATTAGACGATACGTGATGACGGAAAACTGTGTTGAACTTTGAGTCTCCGCTTGAAACAAAATTGCGGGATAACACAGGAGGGAATATTTTTGGGTGTGGAGAGTGACAAGTTTCACGTGTGAAGAGTCTTGCACTGTTATACAGGATGTTATAAAAGTCCTGGAAGAGCAGAATAACTTGAAAAATATGAGTTCTAGAAAAAATTCGAAGTACTAGGTTTTTATGATTTTTTCCTGGCTATCTGACGGTGACCTTGGATTTGACCTTGACAATGATCTTGAAGGCCATTTCAAGGTTAGGTCAATTTTTTTAAATAGGATCCCATACTTTTGACCCCAGAAATGGAAAGAGCGGAAAATTTTACGTTCAGATATGACCTTGAACACTGCAAAATTGATCTCTGAAGGTCACATAAAGGTCTAAGCTTGTTTTAGGCTGAAAACGCGAATATCTTCGAAAATGCACCTGCTAGGGAGCAATGTTACGCATAAGAATAAGAATGTAGAGGTCAACGAGGGACATTCAGTCGTGGCCTTGCCCTTATTCTCAAGGTCATGAGTTAAGATTATTATTAAGGTCAAACCGGACTTTTTAGGACTGAAAATCCATACTTTTAACCTAAAAGTGTCAAGATTGAAAAATTTTACTTTCGGATATGACGTTTTCAACCTTGACCTTGTCAAAATTATGCGTTTTACTTCACTGATCGTGAAGTCTATTGAAAGTAAAGCGTCTCGGAACCCGACCACTGAAGGCAAGGTGTCTCAAATCCGACCATTGAAGGCAAGGTGTCTTAAACCCGACCAGTGAAGGCAAGGTGTCTCAAACCCGACTACTGAAGGCAAGGTTCAGTTAGTCCCGGCCACCGAAGGCAAAGCATCTTGTAACTCGACCTGAGATTACAAGAGGTGTTCAAAATGTTCCCCATTGACCGTTTGAGAGTGTGTTTGACAGGTCAAGGTTGAAAACATCATATCTGAACGTAAAATTTTTCAATCTTGACACTTTTAGGTTAAAAGTATGGATTTTCAGTCTAAAAAAGTCCGGTTTGACCTTAATAATAATCTTAACTCATGACCTTGAGAATAAGGGCAAGGTCACGGCTGAATGTCCCTCGTTGACCTCTACATTCTTATTCTTATGCGTAACATTGCTCCCTAGCAGGTGCATTTTCGAAGATATTCGCGTTTTCAGCCTAAAACAAACTTAGACCTTT